TTACTGAGGAGGTAAATAAATTTGGCTGCATAGCTTTCTCGGAAATCCTCCCTCGTAACAACAACACCTCTGAAATTCTTAAAATCATCAGGACCGTCAAACAGTCATCGGCCAAAGTTATTGCTGTGTTTACTACAGGAGCTTATCTGATTCCACTGACAGAAGAAATTGTTCAGCAAAAAATCAGAGGCAGACAGTGGATTGCTAGTGAAGCCTGGGCTTCCTCCCCTGTCTTCCACACTAAGGAGTTACTGCCTTATTTAGGTGGGACTATAGGAATCGCAGTTCGCAGAGGAGAAATCCCAGGGCTGGAAAAATTTCTCCTTCAGATTCGCCCTGTGTTGGACACCAGAAACAATTTAGTCAAATTGTTCTGGGAAACAATATTTGATTGCAAGTTTCAAGATAAGGCAATCAATCAAAATTTGTCAGATGTGTTAAATATCAAAATTTGCACAGGTGCAGAAGATATTGAAAAAACAAAAACTGCTTACAGTGATGTTTCAGAACTGCGGGCTTCCTACAATGTGTATAAAGCAGTGTACGTCTTGGCACACTCCCTGCACAATCTGATGTCCTGTAAGCCTGGAAAAGGGCCCTTTCAGAATAACTCCTGTGCAGACATCACAACTGTGCAGCCCTGGCAGGTGAGAAGTTACAGTATCAAACAGACTAATAAATTGTACGATATACTTATTGTTTTTTTTTTGCAAATAATTTTCTATGATGCTTTAAATATTGACATTTCCTGTTTTCTTACAGTAATAACCTGTTTTGTTAAGTCAATAACTTACTGACTTTTGAGTACTTATTCATTATTTCTTATTTGACTTTCTTTTATTTGACTCTCTTCATATTTTCCTATTTGTTTTTCTAAGCTGCTGCACTACCTGGCAAGAGTGAACTTCACGACTCACTATGGAGACAGGGTGTCCTTCGATGAGAACGGAGATGCTCTTGCAATCTATGATGTGATCAACTGGCAGAGGGCCGATGATGGGTCTGGGAAAACAGTAACAATCGGTCTGTATGATGAATCAGCTCCTGCTGGACAAAAGCTCAGTCTGAATGAAGACAAAATCTTCTGGAATTTTGAATCTAATGTTGTAAGTTAAAATGTTATGCAATGTTATCAGTTTAAGTGAATTATTTTTCCAGAGAGATAATTTACTAACTATGATCAAAAAGATGATAATCTATTTATATCTAATCTCTTTTCCTAATATCTGCATATTGACAGCAGGAGTTAAATTGCATTATGCCTTTATAGAATGAAATATAAAGTAGCTGTAATATTTGATAAAAGTACACAGACTGCACTGTTACTTTGAACTGCAAAAATACATGCTGCATGTACTGTATGTCACTATAATTGATAAGTAGTAATAACTGCTTAATTTTAACTTTTTAAGTTGAAGAATTTATGCTCCCTTTCCCAGCCTCCCAGGTCTGTGTGCAGTGAAAGCTGTCAGCCTGGCACCAGGAAGGCAACCAGGAAAGGGGAGCCCCTCTGCTGTTTTGACTGTGTGCCGTGTGCAGAGGGAGAGGTCAGCAACCACACAGGTAGGCAGACAGTAATTACTTAAAACATATGATTTTTAAAATTTTGGGCTAGTAACATAATTAGCATAACTAACATAACTAACACCAAAGATACAATAATTAGTCCATTAAATACTAAATTTAGTATTTAATGTACTTCTCTGAACGAGCTCCACATAACACTACTTCTCTAAGCTTGTGGATATTTCTAACTATAAGGATGTGCAGACATTATATTTGTGATGTTTATATTGTATATTCTTGACATTGTATATTTATAGAAGGAGTTACACTGTCAAAATATTTTTTCCTTCTTTTCGTCTTTAAAAATTATATTTATTGATTAGAGTGTCCAATATTGATATTTGTGTTCATTTTTGCTGTAAAAACATTACCGCACTTTAACACAAGTGAAGGGACATCTTGAGCGTGAAACATAGCACAGTGGCTGCAAAATAACATCTTGGCAGCTTGATAGGTCCGCAAGCCTCTGTGATCACCACATATAATTAATGTTAGGTATATTTTATTTAATGAATCCTTGTTATAATTTATTTGTACTGTTAAAAAATTGAGAAAATCAGGAGCAGACCGAGGAGATTAGTCAATAAATAAAATAATTGATCATAATCCCAATTTGTAAGTGATTTATGCCAGAATACACCTAAGAGGTTGGTACTGTAAGGTACTTGATTCTTAATGCCTATAGAGGCCAAAGAAGAGATGATCTGCCTTCTAAATTAAATAGAATACAATCTACCATTAAATCTCTATCTCTCTAACCAGGATGCCACAAAATAAATGGGAGCCTATCTCCTATTATAAAATGCACCCACTAAGCAGGAGAGACAGTATTCAACCGAGGGATTCCTCACTCAGTAACTCCAAGGTCCTTAAAAGCTACAGAATAGCAAGCTCTCTTACCAAGATTCAAATACTTATCTCCATTTGGGTCTTTTCTGATGATCTTGAAGTAGGGATACTCGCCTGGCACAAACTTCAAATTCCCGTCTGCTCCTGTCCTCTCTGTGTGTTGTCATCTGACTTTCTTTTTCCCTTCTCTCACCCCTTTTCTTCTACTGATCTGATGTCATATTCTGCATTTCTGGACTGTTGATTGACACTTAATCATTTACCTAGAACTTAATTAACTAAGGTAAACCAGTGTAAATGTTTTCATTGCTTTGATCACAGACTCTGAACCCCCTACATCTCAGCCAACATCCCCTGTGCTTTGAGGCTAAAAATGTTTACACGGCCAGGTGTTACACAGTTTATCTAGGCTGTCTTAGACACCTCCATTTGTCACCCACCTTATCCTGTAACAGTACCTTGTTTTGAATCTTTGTCACAAGTCTTTCACCAACCAGAGTATTGTGTTTGTAGTTTAGATGATGTTGGCTATAAATAAAAATATAGTAACTTTATTTGGGGTATTAAAATGATTAGCTTTCTCTTTCTTATAGATTCAATTGAGTGTTTCAAATGCCCTTCAGAATATTGGTCGAACCCAAGCAGGGACCAGTGTGTGCTGAAGGAAATTGAGTATCTTTCTTATGAGGAGACGTTGGGATTCTCCTTAACATCAGCATCAGTATTTGGAGCATTAATTTCAGCTGCAGTTTTAGCTGTGTTCATTTACTACAGGAACACTCCAATTGTTAGAGCCAACAATTCTGAACTGAGCTTCCTGCTGCTTCTTTCTCTAATACTCTGCTTCCTCTGCTCATTGCTGTTTATTGGTCAGCCACTACACCTCACCTGTATGCTGAGACATGTTGTGTTTGG